AGTTAAACCAGTACAAACCGCTGCGTGCCCCGCTCTTTGGCTGCAGAGCCCCAGCCGCTGCTTCCGTCACAGCCAAGTGCTGCCATTTCTCGGTTTCTCACGGCCACACTTGCACGTAAGCACTTACTTACGGGCATTGCACAGAACCTTTGAAATATGTTCACCTAAAATTACTTTTAACCCCCGCCGAGAAGGCTGTGAAGTCAAACTCCGGCGCTGGGGAAGCGCTTGGCTTGGGGCGAAGCTTGGTGTGTTTTGCAGACCAAACCTGCTCCCCACGCCCTCGTTTCCCCATCGCCTTCCTCCCTTCTCCGTGCAGCCACGGGGCACGTCGGATTAGAGAGCTGGCCTGAAGGAAAAGAACTTTTTCGCTGTGTTTTTCCCCCCCACCCCACCCCAGACCGACGCTGAAGCACAAAAACGCTCATCCAGGAGAAAGGGAAGGAAGAGCACGGAGCCGTCAGGCCACGAGGTTGGATGTTCAGCGTCAGGGCAGCCTGTGCCGGCTCCTGTCAGCACGGCACATGATGTCATACCGTACAGCTTCACCCGTTTTACAAGGATTTCGGCAAGAAAAGCAGAAGAACCCTTCCTGCCGCAAAGGCTCCGCTCTCTGCCCAATTTCAAGCCCCCTGAAGGCACCGGGGCATTAAAAGCTCTCAAAGAAGGTGTTCCCAGCGGTGGGTTTAACAGAACCCTCACCCGTTTCCCCAGCCTTCCTCTCAGAAAGAGCTCGAGCGGCCGAACAGCCGAACCACAGCACCCTGCAGCGCTCAGCTGAGAGCTGGCAGCCTGCAGGCAGCGGGGAGCTGGGGTTGGCAGAGAGGCTCCCCTGAAGGCACCGGGGCATTAAAAGCTCTCAAAGAAGGTGTTCCCAGCGGTGGGTTTAACAGAACCCTCACCCGTTTCCCCAGCCTTCCTCTCAGAAAGAGCTCGAGCGGCCGAACAGCCGAACCACAGCACCCTGCAGCGCTCAGCTGAGAGCTGGCAGCCTGCAGGCAGCGGGGAGCTGGGGTTGGCAGAGAGGCTCCCGGGCCGCGTGGGAGAGGCGGGAGCACGGCCAGTGGTGTAAGGGGGACGTTTTCTGACCGAAACCAACACCTGGTTTTGGCATCTCATCACCAACTCCAGCACTGGTACCTGCAGAGTTTTTAGTAACTGAAGAGTCCTTTCACTCCACCGTATTTCTTCACTCTCTTTCCCGCTCCTCGGTAGCTCCTGGCGAGGGAATAGAACAGAGGGTTAGACAGCCCGCGTAAAAAGGCCCGCACCATGGTGACAAAAGGGACGAGAGCTGTAGCCTGATTGAAAACCCAGCTGGAGCTGGGCGTGCGGGTGGCCGTGCTCGGGACACCCAACACCTCCGCGGTCCCTTTATGCCACAGGGAGAAGAACATCACGGTGCTCGTTCTGCTGCGGATAGATCGGGTGCGACAACCCGCTGGGTGCTACGGGAGGGGTCCCAGTGAGCCCTGGAGAGGCAGCTTCACAAGATACCGGGATTCTGACAGCATTTGTGCTGGTCAGGGGCCAAAAAAGGATGTTCCAAAATTTGGCTTTAGGTTTTGGGCTCAACCTCGGAAGTCGACAGGAGGAGATTGCCTGTGTCTCAGCGTGGCTGAGCACCCTCCTAGCCGGCAAGCGCAGGAACTGCTCCCTTACAGGAGCCCGGGCTCCAAGGAAGGAGCTGTTTGCCTCCCAGGCTGTCACCCGGGAGTGCTGGGTACACGTATCCCTCATTAGCAAGCTGCGAAGTTTTTACCTGGCAAAATACGTGCTGAAGATGATGTCAGTACCCCAAAATTCACTGCAAGTTCATGATGCCATCAATTTTAAATTTTTTTTCAAAATATTTCTGGGAAAGAACACGGTTCTCTCCTGAAATAGTTGTCAGCTTCAAGCACACGTACGTTCGTCAGCTCATTGCGCTGTGGTGCAGCTGCTTGGTGCGGGGAGCGGCTGGCCAGCGGGGAGCTCTCGGGGAAAGCCGGTCCGTCCTGCTGCCAGAAGAGAAAGGGCGATCGCCAGGCGTTACAAGGGCAATGCAATCCTCAATGACGGCATCCTGCTCGAAGAATTCACGCCCATAAATGTGTTCTAAGATGAGCTAAGAGGTGCTGTTTCTACCACGTCCTTTCTCACACAGGGGAGGCCCTCACTGTGGTGTTTATCCCACAGCTACGGGCTCGGGTCAGGCACAGACCCGACATTTTCTGCTGCCATTAGGTCCAATTTTGTCGTTCTTTTTCAGCTTCCCTGAGCTCACCTTCTCTAGAGAATGCCCCTTCCCCTCAGCCTGAATAAAGATGGCAGAAACAGATAGTTTGCCTAAGTATGTCCTCAATATGAGACACAAAAGACAAGTTTTATCCTTTACAAAGACAATTATATTTACCTCTTCGGCACAAAGAGGCTGTCTTTCCTATTAAGGTTTCCTTTATACTTAGCGATTAGGCTGTAATCGATACTGATTAATAGACAATTAATTGTTCATTCACTGTGAGAGTCTACCAAGGGGCTTATAAATAAACTTCCATGACACAAGCTGCTTCATGCTGCGCCGGCTGGCTCTGGCATCCTTTTCAAACACATATTAGTAATTTCTTAGCAGGTTTTTAATGGAACCCCAGCAGAAAATGAAACCAATAAATACACGTAGGTCTCTAAAACGGACGGGAACTGCTCACCATAGTTTCACCACAGTTATCATGCGTTTCATTTCTGTTATTCTGCGATGTCAACATAAACAAATCTTTTCCAATCTTTCTCTCAGTCTCTGAATGAGCTGACTCCTGCAGGTAACTTAGTTCTTCTACTCCCAGCATCTCTGGATTAACAAACAAACAGGGTTTAACAGGTCACTGTCTTTTAACCATTGTCCTTAAAAAAAACCCCACCAACAAAAACCATTGAAACCCAAAAGTCACAGCCTAGTTAGCAATCTTTGAGAGCGGGAGCCAGAATGAGTAAATGTAGAATAAATATCATTCCCAACAGGACCGTGGAAGAAGAGGCAGCAGCTTCCAAGAGAGTTCTGCCTTTTCCAAAGGTTGACCTTTACGGACTCGCGGGAGGTGGTTTCGCCGCTCACTCCCGAGGCAGCCAGACGGATTGTGTTTCCAGCAGAGCAAAGGGGCGAAGGCAGAGACAGCGCCTTCTCGGAAGATCTAAAATGACGCGTTTCTTCTTGCCTGATGTTAACCACACTCTTCAGCTTACAAATAGAAGTTATTTACATGAATTTGGAAATTTGGAGAGTGATTTGATTAAACTCAGAATAAGTGGGAAGATTTTTATTTTTTTTAAAGAAAACAAATGTGCCGCTTGGCAGATGATGGGAGAAACCAAAGGTGAAACCAAAAAGACTTCCTTAATGCCACAAGGAAGAAAAAGACTCGCATTTCATTTCTGATCTAAGGGACAAAAGCAAAGCACTTACAAAACCAAAACCACTTTTTTTTTTAAATAACTGACTGCCAATTTCCTTAACATTTAACCGTTTTGGCGTTCGATTTCTAGAATACTGCACACAAACACCGTGCACGTCTCTCGGACGTGATGTAAAATAGAAAATATTCTCTGACGGCCAATTCTGCAACAACAGAACTGAAATATTACCTGTGGTATCTCGCTCTTTTCTTGTTTCTTCCATTTCCCTCTGTGTTTCGTTTCTTCTCATCTTAAATCCGTGACTCTTGAAGCATTTCGCAAACAACTGAAAACAATTATTTTTGTTTGCTTTCAGAACGTCAAGTCAGATTAGTCGCAAACATCAACACAAAGGCATGAGCATGAGCTGTACGTTAATTACTGCAACCCAGACTCTAGACATTCGGATTAGGTCATTCTGAAAATCTGCAATTTTTTTTTTTTTTTTTTTTTAAATTAAGAACCTTCTGCAGCTTCAGCTTTGGCAGTGAACTCCGTGAAGAAACATCTTAGGAACAGCTTGGGTCGGTTCTCCTTGAAGCCAGTTGGTAGGGAAGGATCAAGCAAGCGACACCCGCAGCGCTCTGTGCGCGGATTTCTGTCCCCAGGGCCCGGGTATTTTTCACCCCCGTGAGGAGCGAGCTGTAGTCCTGCTCCTCGACGCCCAGTGGTGAAGCGGTGCGGCCGCGATGAACCCGCAGATCCCCCCGGCCTCCCGGCTCTCTCCTGGCTGCACCGCGGACAAACCGCTGCGAGGGACAGGCGGCTGCCGCGCGCAGTTCACCCCGTACCTGTCCCGGCCACCTTTGGTACACCCTGACCCTTATCTGGTCTCCAGCCCGAACCTTACTGTGCCTTCGGTGCTGTCAGGTGCAGCACAGGGACACGGGAGCCTTTGGCAGACCGTATTGCCATGAGACAAGCGCGGCTTTCTCGTGCAAAGACAGCACTAAGGCCCACGGCCCGGGCCACCCTTCCAGCCAAGGTGAGAGCACAATCAGGGACCCCTTGGTCCTCCGCAAGGCACGTCCCTGACGTGCTCTCCAGCTGGAAGCTTCCTCTTCAGTTGGGAAAGTACAAACCAAACTGGCAGACCATCTTTCCAAAGCCATTCGTGATGTTATGATAACAATGTTTAAGCCTGATGTACCTCTAAAGTAAATTTAAGGAAAGATGTGCTCTCATACTGGTTACAGAGCAGAAACAAACCAGAAAATAGTAAAACAAGGTAGAAAGTAGAAAAGAAATGGACAGACATCTAAAAGGCTGTGTATCAGCGTACAGTCAGGTGCCAGTATGGGAACTGAAACGCCAGCTCTCAACATTCTTTGTCATTTTTCACTTGCTGTTGGAGTGCTGGAGATGAAAGCCGTGAGCTCTGCAGATGGTCTTGCTGACAAAGCAATTAGTGGCGAGTACGCAATTAACCACCAGGTACCCACCGCACCGCACTGCAGAACACGCGCGCTCCCGCGCTTTGCCAGGCGTCCGCGTAAAACCGAGCCTGCGGAACCTCCCGCAGCCGGACCCCCGGTGGGCAACACCCCGTGGCCGGCGCGGCGGCATCAACCCCTGCGAGGAGCTCGTCTTTACCGTTTGCAGCTCCGCGGGAACCACAGGCTGCGTCGCCTGGGACAGCAGTTTATCCACCCCTCCCGATTCCTTCCACATCATTGTTTTCTTCGTCGGGGGCGCGAGGTCTAACGTCGCCAGGGTGTCCGTGCAGCGGTTGAGCTGGTTGTAGATAGTGTTGCAGCTCAGCTCCTTGACTGCGTCCACAAGCAGCTTCCTCTTCCTTTTCTTTTTTTTCCTCTGGGTGACAGCTAAATGGAGCAAGTATCAAAAAACAAAAGTCTAGCAAGGTCTATTCGCGGATCACTTCAGCACCAAACAAGCACCATGATGCAAACGGACAGGCTGCCGACCTCCTGGAAATCAGGGCACAAGTTTCTCTGGACATTTTGATAAAGCATTGTCTTGGTGTTCTTGTTCAGGAAATTCAGGTATGCTTAATTACATGACTATCGTGCTAAAGAACCAGGAACCTGAGGACACATGATACACCAGCAAGAGCGAATAAGCTCTCTCTAATCCATCAGGAAGTTCATTGTCCCAAGAACTGCTGATGGACTCAACAGGTTTCATTACCTCATAATTAATATCTGTATTTCTCAGTTTAATCCTCCAGCAACTTAATCACACCATGTGTAGTAAACACGGAAGAAAGACATGGACTGGTTATATAGCCATAACTTGCTGATTAGTGTTTTGGTGGGCTGGAAAATTCTAAACAATAGTGTCAACGTGAGCTTGTTTACTTGCTGACAGCCGCCAACGTGACAGGCGACATTTCGATTTGCTCACAGAAGAAATGAAACCTTTTTCTTTTTGGATCTTGTAAAAGCTCAAAGTTCACAAAACAGAATTTTACAAAGGCCTGAAAGTTTTTAAGATAGTTATTTCACACATAAAAATCACTGATGTGTCGCTGGTGATAGCAGTTCTTCAGCTGGAACTTCAGCAACACCCGTGAGCAGGCCGGGCTTGCACCGCTGGCAGAGCTGCACAGCCACACACCGCGACGGGGTGCGCGGCAGAAACCGGGAGCAAAGACTTGGGCGGATCAGATGAACAACCCGATACTGGTTTTGTGTAATAGCTACCCTAAAACAGAACGCCGCCAGCAGGAGCAGGTGAAACCTGAAGTGGGAATAATCTGGTTTGCAAATGTTTTCACTAACAAGAAGAAAACCAGAGGTAGTGAACGCAAACGCTCGGCAAGAACCTGGCCGAGTTCTGACCTGAATCGTCAACCGGCTCCAGCACAAATCCTTCCTCTTCTCTGGACAGCAGCGTTGTTTCGTTCATCGGATGATGGGCTTGCCTCATGGTGGCGTCCGCGCAGCTGGACTCAACTGTAAGAAAACCCAGCAAATAACCCAAATTTTAAAAAAGTTGACAAGATGGAACAATTTCTCAATCTCACGACACAGAGTGACATCAGGCAAAAAAGATCAGGATTGGAAAACTACGATTTTGCCTGTAATCTCACAACCCCTTCAACCAGCAATGACCGGCGCTGCTGCTGCCCGTACTCTGCTCCGCAGGCTTCCCCGCGCTGGCACCAGAAACCGCGTGAGCGGGGGGTTGAACAGGCCGAGGAACTGCTCTGGAGGGAAACCCGCCTGACAGGGGCGTTTAGGGGGAAAAGTGTTTCGTTCCAACACGTATCTGCTTCCAGGTCCAGGCACCCGCACGGCAGCGCGGGCGTTTCTGTCAAGGTGAAAGGAGGAGGTGGTACCAGGGCTGGTGCAAGGAGAGGCAAGGGCCACGGTTTCCCTTTAGAGCTGTTCCAGAATTCCCAGTTTTAAGTACAGTGTGATGGGGGTAGAAGGATTTGAGGTATGAAAAACTTTCAGAAACGCTTTTCAAAACTTAATTTCAAAAATTAATGTCCTTCACCGGTATCAAGCCAAAAGAAGGCTAACACCACCTTTATGAACCACTCCAGTGTCATTTGTCGCTGAAATGCGAAGCCAGAAGTACTCCTAGGTGGAGTTCAAAGCTACAGCATGCCCTTATTCGGCTTCCTTTCCCCCACAGCAGGGGTATCGTGCTGCCCACGCAGCAGGACAGCACGTCAAAGCGCTCCTACGCGGTGGCAAGGTGCAAGTCTGGAATCCCTACGGCAAACTCATTTATACCTAAACTGGTGGACGAAGGGGATCAGGAAAAAAAAAAAAAAGGCAAAAGAAAAGCCAAAGGCAGAAGGCCGGGGCTGTGACAGTCCTGAGTGCAAGGGACTTCAGGCACCACTGCAGGAGCAGAGGGTTGGTGTGAGGGAGACGGGGCAGGCACTGCAAACTCACCGGCTGTGCTGTTCTCCGGCAGATCTTGTGACAAAGGACCAGGTTCTTCCTCCGTGTCACGAATGTCTTTATCTAGGCCATTTTGCTCGTCCCTCAGCAGGATTTCTTAAATACAAAATGCATAGTTTTAATCATTCTAAGCCTTAGTAGTCATGAGATAGCCTGGTACAGCCTGATGTTACTGATTGAAGGGTAATTCTCTGCAAACAGCAAGAGCTCAGCTTCCAGAGGTGGCTGTCAATGGTGCTGCTGGCGCCAACAGCACAAAAAGGGAGAACGTCAGTCTTAATTTTGAGATTTCCTCCTTTTCTTTGAAAAGTACGGCGTCAATACTGTTCAAAAGGTATAAACCTATAAATGTTTACCTAAATGCTCTAAACCATAAAGTGGTAGAAGCCACTTTGCTGCCATTGTTATTACAACAATGAGGATAAAAACGCTGCCGTATTTCACCTTTGAAAATACAAATTAAATGGTTAAGCATCAAGTATAAATTGAACATGTTTCATTCTAAAAAACTGAATTATATCCTTTAAAACAATTGTACTTGGCAATCTCTAAGTGATCGTAGATTTAGTGGCAAGTAGGAAAGAAATGAAGTACGAAAACCACAAAAAATACAGAATTTATGTTTGAAAACGATCACTTTCACCCTGCCTTGTTTGTTTTCCCATAAGAATAAAAATATTTGGAAAGAAACGAATTCTGTTTGTCTGTGGCAAACCCCACCAATCATGTCTGCAGCATCCTCCTCGTCTCCAAACCAGTCATGCTCAAAGCTGTACGTATCTTCGTGCAGCGCAGGCTTGTCTCCGCTGGCGCTCGCAGAGTTGTGATCAGCCACGAGGCAGTTGCTGCTCATCAAGATGCTGCTGTCAAAGCAGCTCTGCTTCCCCGGCCCCTCTGCTTCCTCGTCTGAATAAACAGAGAAATTCTGATGCTTCATCTGCATGAATTTTGGAAACGCGTATTTATCCGTTTCCCAAGTTTTTCAAATAGTTTTCAAAAGATTGTCAGATATCCCAGGCCTCAAATGCAATAAACAGTTTTAGCTAATTCAGCAAAAAGCAGAAAACGTTGGGTTTGACTCTCAGTCTCTGATATCACAGCATATTACTTAGGCAGAGTACTGGCACACAGATTTAAGCACAAGACGGTGTGACAGACCGATCAGCACAAGCATGAAACAAATACACTGTTAATAACGGCTTTTTCACCCATGGAGAGGGCTCAGACTGTACAACGCTTTGCATAAAACACACTTTTCCTTATGGAATATTTCTAATTTCTCAACTTCTCTCACCAAAGTTTCTATCACAGAGAAGTATATTGCTTTCGTAATCCTCTGTAAGTGTGATGTCTTCAGCTCTGCTCTGATTCAAGGTAAAATGTTCAGCGACATCAATGGCACTGATGAAAAAAACATTATACAAAATATAGGGTGAACTGAAACCCACGGAGTGTTTAGCTGGAATGTAAAGACTTGTTTCTAAACAGCCCTCAATCCTGATGTTTTGTCATAAACCCCCGAAAGATAGCGTCTGTTTGCCACGGCACGGAGCGTACCCTGGGTGACCCCCACTTCTGTGGAGAGGCAACAACCGGTTCCCAAAGCTCCAAAGCCATTGAAGGTTTTATTCATCAAACTCACTGCTTTGAATTTCCTCTAAAAGCTAAAAATAAGCCTATGGGAAGCAGGTGCTCCACGTTCAGTAGAACTGCTACCTCTAAGCACGCAGCAGCTGCCGCCTCTGCCAGCCAGGGTCTCTGCGCAGCCCCCGCCCCACGAGGACCGAATCTGCAGTCGCCGTAACTGGGAGAGTGGCCGGCGAGGGAGGGGGAAGCATCCAGCCCACCCAGCTTGGAAACGCTCCCCGCGCCTGGACCCCCACGAGCCAACGCCCCAGACGGACGCTCCGAAAGGGCCCCCCTCAGGAAAGAGCAGACCCTGGGAAGGAGGCGGGAAGCTCCCCTCCTCCTCTCTCCCGTGTTTCTCCGCGCTCTTTTGCCAGTAAACTCGGGCTTGTGTGAGGCTGTGCACAGCCAGGCCCTGCCGCCTACCAGAGGCTCGTTACACAGAAGGCGACTAATTAGTGCAACACCTTCATCCATCACTCAACCCGCAGGGACTCTGGGAGGCAGAGCAGGCACGCCTGGCGGTGCTGGGACGCTGAGGTGTGTGAACAAACAGCATTGCACCGCAGCCCTGCGTGCAGGCCACAGACCCCCTCACCGTGTGCTCATGACGAGCCACAGAGGGAGCAATCTGTTCTCCCGGACCTTTGGGGGCAGCCGAGCCATCAGAAACACCTCTTGGCCTCCTGCTTTATATCAGCGTTTCTACCTTTGTGCTGACTCATGTCAGAAAAGCCAAGGAAACGTGCTGGCTTTTCATCGGGAGCCAAGCTGGCTGCTGCTGATAAAACACCCCAGCCCCAGAGAGCGACGGAGCAGAAGTCAGACGCAGTTACACAGGGGAGCAGCACAACATTGTGAGGTTACCAGCCAGAGCTTCCTTGGCCTTACAAAAGGATTTGTCCTAACTTTGATATCTTCTCTCAAAGTCAGGAAGTGGTTTGCAGGCTTCACGCAGACAATTTAAAACACTGAAGTCTAAGTTGGACACATTATTTCATTGCAAAGGTCTGTTGATTAAACAGACTTTGAGGAACGCTGCAACAACACAATTCCTGTGGCCGTAGCCTTGTAAAGCCAACTCAGAATTTAGGAGAATTCAGTTATCAAATCAAAACAATTCCATCTGAGTCTTGGACAGGTAACAGCAAGGGTATCTTTTACTTCTGAAAATACTAAAATAATGAATAAAAACTAGGGAAGCATTTACTTTAAATCAGGTAGTGGTGTTTCAAAATCATGAAATTCTTCAGGTAGTGTGATGGACTGATAAGCAGCCTCCAAGGTCTCTTCTGGAAGGTCAACAAGTCCTAGAAGGAACAGACAGCGTAAGAAAATAACTACCAATAAAATAAAAGGGATGTTCTCCCAAGGGCATAGAATAAGACCATAAACCTGTCAGGAAGGTCTGCTGCCGTTCTGAGTAACGGGAAGGTAAAGTTTAGGCACTCTGGCGACAGGACACCAAGTGGAATTAAAATCCCTAGTTTACACATACTTTAGAAGCCGTATTTTTTACAGTCTGACACACAGAGTCTGCTGCTACAGGACCTGAAATGCTGCAAACGCTGCTAGGAACAGCCACTGTAAGTCCCTGAAAGATTCTCAGCGGTGACATTTAGCCTGGAGTCTGTCACACCACTTCAGATGAATTACTGCGCTTTCTTTTTCTCCCCAGTGCCTGGGCAACGCCATTCTCCAGCACCAAATAATTACGGAGCGAGACCACAAATACTTGGTCATCCGAGAAATCTGGCAGAATTCGGGTGAGACAGGATGTCTGACGGTCACCTGAGCCAATCTTTCACTCAAAACAGGGTGAGTTTCTAAGATCACTTTTGACTATTTCTGCTGATGGAGACTCCACAGCACCCCCGGACAGCCCGTTTCAGCACTTTACCACTTCCACGGAGGTTTTTGCCCCCCTTCTATCTCGCTGGAGTCTCCGTTGCTGCAGTTGTGACCGTTGCATCTTGTCCTCGTGCTGCGCAGCCCTCTACAAGCTACTAGAGCCTCCATTCGAAGCAAACAGCACGGCGTACTCACCCTGTTCCTTCTAGAAACACGTTTACAAACATAACTGACTAATCACAATCATATCCGTGAGAGTGGTGGAGCACAGCTATTCCCTCCTCTGCAAACGGACCAGCTCACAGAGCACATCAGGGCCGGCACTAGGCGCTGGGGCCTGGTTTTAGCCTTTTTTCAGACAACAGTGCCTCCCCGTTTGCCGCCCAAGTACAACAAACCTACAGCCTGTTGGAAAAGGATCCATTTATCTCTGCTCCCTTCTCGCCAGCCACATGGCTAGAGCTCAAAACACATGGTCAGATCTGGCACTAACACACTGTTGGACATGTTGTCGGTGTCATCAGCAATTAAAATTAATTATCTAGCCACGGAGGCTGCATTCAAGCTTCTTCTCTCAAGACCACATAAGATACTGCTTCTTGTAAAGGAGTCAAACCCCTGAAACAGCACTGAATTAAGCCAGACAAACACCAGCAGCAGGCACTAGTACCTTCAATTTCCTTTGGGATCAGCAATGTGTATTTAACAGAAATATCCAAAATTAACTTTTAAAACAAGAGCTTAAAGGACACAGATGGAAAAATGCAGAATTCTGTACACACCTGGGCGAAAAGCTGTCTTCATTTTTGTCAAAGCTTCACTACAGTCTGCCAAGAGGTACTTTGCTTTCCGGTGGTAAATCCGCACCACTCCTAGGAGTAAGTGCCCAGAGGTCCGCAGAGCTATTGTAAACTTCGGCGATTGAAAAAAGTTGTTCAGGAATTAGTATTTTTGGAAAAAAAAAAAAACAAACATTCAAATGAAAATATTACACAGTAGTAACAGAGCTCCAGTAGCATACACCAGTACAGAAATTCAACAGGCCATAATTATGCCCTTATTTATGCAAAGTCTTCCCGCACCAAGCACGCTCAAGGTGGTCACAGGAAGGGCAAGTAGAGGGCACTCAACCAGGGCCTCTTGGAAAACACTTCCAAATAACATCAAGATCATTTTAACCACACTCAGTTAATCATAACCCACGCAAGACAGACAATGAAATTGGAGCTACCAAATATCAAGCAGGTATTTTCATAGAGAAAATTAAAAAATTCTGCTTGTACCAGCTGAAAGTCTTGGACCTCCGGAGCCACCGATCAGCAGCAGGGCAAAGCGCTCCTCACGCTGCCCTCGGACGCAACGGCGAGGCCAAGGACTGAGCCGCGGGTACCAGACTGCCCGCATCTGCGCCAGCCCGAGTCACACCTTGTCTGTGCCACGCAGAGGGCTCCAGCCTCGGGGGCTGCTCCTACAGAGTCTCTCATAAGCCCTACGTGTGCTAAATTATGTATTTAATGGCTTATAGCGGGGGACCTGGGAGGAGTCTACTGGAAATGGAAGGATGGTTACAACACATCAAAAGTTATTCATGATGAGATCGGCAAAAGCGTCCTCCCCAAACGGTCTGCACGCAGTTTTGCGGCAGTTTTCTTAGTCCCTTGACTTTGGTTAAGCAGCTGACTTTTCAATCTCTTTGAGACAATTTCCTCAAACACCAGCATTTCCCAAATTCCGTTGGACAATACCAGCAGCTGGCACTCAAAGTCTCTGAAGAACGACCAGTGTCACCACACCGCACCAGTGGGCTCGTGTTGCCCCACGAGCGGCTCAAACCCCTGTGCTGTGACCCCTCGGTGCCTGCACAGCACTCCCTGCAGCTCTGTCGGCGTGCTGAAAAATAGAGTTGCGTGTATCGTGGTAATGTTTTCCTACACTGTGCATAAATGTATGCCACAGACCTCCAGGAGGAAAATAGCAAGTAAAATATTCCTATAACTGTCATTTTACAGGATGGAGATTTTATCCGAGTGAGAACTGAATTAAAATGAGATCAGGAATTTACCTCACACCGGTTTTGAAAGAGCCACAAATTTGCCCAACTAAGCGAGTCTCCGTGATGGCAACAGTCCTCTTCCCTACCAAAGATGAGCACCTCCACCCCAGAACTCGCCCCTCACGGTTTAATAGCGTACCTTTGGCGAGATGATCTTTTCAACGGTGGTCTCTAAATTGCACTCAAATATATGAGCTTTGGTGAGCTTCTTCTCCCAGTGGGCAGCAAGCCATATTTTGGCCAACGGCCCGCGCTTGTTGACGAGTAGATGCATGTAGAACATGGCGCCGGGGCCCGGGCCCACAGGCCAGCCCTGGGCCGGAGAAGGGTCCTGGGACACGAAGCAGGATTTGGGGGCACCCTGAGGGGATGGAAAGACCCAGTTGGGTGCTGAGGGGATGAGGAGGGGAGGAGATTTAGGGAGACCCTGAGGGGATGGGGGCACCCAGCTGGGCTCAGATGATGGGGGGGATTTAGGGGGACCCTGAGGGGATGGTGGCAGCCAGCTGGGCTCTGAGGGGATGGGGGGATTTGGCGGGATCTGAGGGGATGGGGGGACCCCACCAAGCACTAAGGGGATGAGAGGATTTGGCGGGACCCTGAGGGTACAGGGGGATTTGGCGGGACCCTGAGGAGATGGGGCGGGAGGGGAGGG